GCAGCAGCAGCAGCATGTTGTGCTGCAGCAGCAGGATATGTAGTTGCTGCTGCTGCTGCAGCAGCAGCAGCAGCAGCAGCAGGATCATGCGGATGCGCAGCAGCCGAAGGATGTACAGCAGTATGATGTGTATGGTGTTGAAAAGGATGAATATGTGTATTACTTTGTAGCTGATATTGGGGTGTATGTACAGCTGGTTGCTGGGTGTTTGAGTGGTTGCTGCTGGTGGGTGTAGGTGAGGAGGAGCCGTGGGGTGTATGGGCAGGTATCCTGCGCATCTGCAGCAGCGCTTCTCTCAATGGAACCCCAACATTCTGTTCGTTTCCTAAAGCTATCAACCACAGCTTACCTCTGAGCTCTCCCGGTACCCCACTGAGCCAGAGACGAACGAAAGCTGCATGCGTTGCGGTGTCTGTACGCCTCCCTCTATCTAAACTATAACGACCGACCCACGTGGTTCCTAGGTGGCTCAGGTGTATGTACGCGTTCGCTTCGGTAGCTACAGTACTACCCACCAGACTTGTTTGCTGCATCAAAGCAGATAAACTGCTGCCTTGTTGCTGCTGCTGCTGTTGCTGCTGCTGATGATTATGGTAGTTCGCATATTGCTGCTGCTGATGCTGCTGCTGCTGCTGCTGTTGCCTCCCTAATCCCCCCATGCTGCTGTAGCAGTCTCTCTGCAGCTGTGCTGCTGCTTTTGTGCTGCGCATTTCTCCGCTGCTGCTGCCTATGCCATCTTCATCATCATCATCATCTGCTGCAGCATGTGCATGTGCATGTGCATGCGCAGCAGCAGCAGCAGCAGTATCTGCTGCAGCAGCAGTATTACGTCCTCTGTGTTTATTATAACCGGAGAAGGTGGGGTTGCAACATGCACTGAAAGCAGCAGGAAGAGATGCTAGTTTCTTTGCTTGTCTCGATGCAGCTCGACCCAAAGTAACTACAATCTCTCCCCCTTTCTCTGCTCCTTTTCTTATACGTCTTAGTGAAGCACCACCGCTGCTAGCAGCCCACGATGTGGGCGTGCTGCTTTTTTTTCTATGGAATCTGCTGCTGCTTTTGTGGCTTCTATTGAGGTGTTTCAGCAGCACAGAGCGAGGTAAACGCACCAATGCTGATGCACTTGATGATGCAAAAGCTACAAACACAGCCAAAGGAGAAGGACGCAGAGGGATAGCAACAGGTACAGCCTCACACGACCAGCTAGCTTCCCAGTGCGGCAGCACTTCGTCTCTCCATAGTTCAAAGTTTCGTGCTGCAGCTTGTTCTCTTCTTGTTCTGCTTTGTTGCAGCAGCAACTGACGTTTCTGATGGCTCATCTCTTGCTGCTGTATTCTTAATCTATGTTGTCTTTCTTGCTGCTGTTGTGCTACCTTCTGGTGAAAAAAACCTATCCATCGAGCAAAAGTTGAATTGGATAGATCCGCAGCAAACAAATCTAAACGACGAGAAGAAAATTGTAAACTGACGCATCGAGCTTCCATTTCATCTGAAAGTTCAAACTTTCGAGCTGTGCTGTACAGACACCCCACGGTAATATCAATCAACTCAGCCAAAGGTAACGAACTCACTCCTTGCTTTCCTCCGTCTTCTGCTGCTGTTATATTTGGGGGCCCCCACTGCAGCAACAGGTGATCAGGAGATGTACGAATTAGCCTTCTTTTCATGCGGCCATTGCGACATAGTTTCACAAATACAGATCCCTCAATAAACAATGAGCTGTCTATACACCCCACGCCATCAGCACCACTACCATTGCAATCCTCTACACCACATATACACCCCGATACATCTGAAGCAGAAGGGGGATGTACTGCCATTGATGTTGAAATTCCTGCACAAGCACTGTTGCTGCTGCTGCTGCTGCTGCTGTTGTTATGGTTTACCCCACCACCAAGAGGGTCTACGATGCCCCCTGCTGCTGCTGCTGCTGCTGCTGCTGCAGCAGATGTAGCACCTGTTGCAGTAGCTCTTCTGCAGCTACCTACGCGATGATGATGCATCTGCTGATGATGAAGAGATGGAGACTGAGTGCTTTCTGAAGGCCGCGAAAGAGAAGCAGGTAAATGCCGCAGAGCCCGCGGGTCGTTCACCAGCCGGCTGTACACCTGAAACCACCACCAACCACAAACCCTAAACCCTAAACCCTAAACCCTCGTCGTCTTTATATGCAACCCCAAACACAACTAACCAACAACCTCCCTGCTGCCTGGCTCCTGCTGCTAACCCCGAAAACCCTAAACCCTAACTACCGCCCAACCCCCCTAAACCCTAGACCCTAGACCCTAAACCCTAAACCCTAAACCCTCGGTTTCTTACTCGATCTGTGTCTGTGATATCGAGCCTGAATTCATGCACAACGACCCTATCGTACATACAGTCGACGACAGCATCAGGTAGATGAGCTCCGCCTGCAGCTACAATTTTTCTGAATTGTTCTTTTGTCATTTTTCTTCTTACTTTTGGGTTGTGTCTATCTGTGTGAAGCATTAAAATAGCGTAAGCTAGAAAGTGAACCGTATCGAGGTCTAAACCTCTATCCTTGTTGTCGCGTACATACAGCCCAGCGAATCTATACAGCAGACGGTACACCTGCTGCGCCTCTCCTGGGGGCTGAAAACGAGAAAGAAACTGACGCAATGCTTCGTCTATAGATAAACCACGGTAATCACATAAAGATGCAAATGATTGAAGCACTAATATCGAAAAAGAACTGCAGTCCCCCAGAACCTCGCCGACCTGCGCGGTGTACAGACACCCCAACACAAACACACACAAACACAAACTCAAAAAAAAAAAAAAAAAAANAAAAAAAAAAAAAAAAAAACACACACAGAGAGAGACGCAGCACAAAGAGACAGCAGCAAACAGCAGCAGAAACACTGCTGCTGCTTCCTGTCTATCCGGATCCACAGAGACAGCTGCAACGGCCATAAAAGCAACAGCAGCAGCAGCAACAGCAGCAGCGGCAGTAGCAGCAGCAACAGGAGCAGCAGATGCAGGTGTATAATACCTTTTTCTTATCTAGTCCTGGCGTATCATAAAGGAACCGAGCGACAGCAGCTGGGTCTTGTGCTTCTATAAGCTTTCGTTCGCCCAGCAGCTGCAGCGCCGCATGCAGCCCCTCTTTATTAAACAGCAGCACAGCCTTGTCTACTGAAGCCTTCAGATCCGCCTGCTTTCTCAGCTCCTGCATCATCTCGCAGTGGGTACCGCCCCCGCGGGAGACGCCGCCGGGGGCCCCCATACGCGCGCCCCCCACTGTCCATACAGCGTAGCCCCCTACATGCCATCGATACAGCCGAGAAGAACAAGCATTGCTGCTGCTGCTGCTGCTGCTGCTGCTGGTAGTTGTGAGGGGATGTGCATCCGGCTGATGGGGAACGCTGCTGCGCAGCTGCAACGCGTCGCTAGACATACTCAACAAACGTGAGGCGCTGGGCGGGGCCTCTGCACCCATTGCAGCAGGAGCAGCAGCACCAGCAGCAGCAGCAGCTGCAGGCCGATCCATCGGTGCTGCTGCTGCTGCTGCCGTTGCTGCTGCTACTGATGCTGATGCGGCTGTTGCGAGTTCTGCTTCTGCTGCTGCTGCTGCTGGTGCTGCTGCTGCTGCGGCTTCACTTGGCTCGCCTGCTTCTTCTTCTTCAGCTCCAGCGCCCTCTGGATTCGCAGCCACTGCTGCAGCAGAGGATTCCGTCGCCGGGAGGTGTAGCTGCTGCTGCTGCTGCTGCTGCTGCTGCTGCTGCTGCTGCTGGGTTGTGTTGCTTGGGCTGTCGCTGCTGCTGCTGAGAAGGGGCATTGCGTTCTTCTCCGCCTCTGACGAATCCAAACAAGTTGAGCCCAGCAGCAAACTGCAGGGGGCTGAAGGCGCGGCGCTGCCCCCAGCACTCCCTGCAGCACAAGTATCTGCTGCTGCTGCAGTTGCTGTTGCTGCAGCTGCTGTTGCTGCAGCTGCTGTTGCTGCAGCTGCTGTCTCTGCAGCTGCTGTTGCTGCTGCAGCGGATGTTGCTGCAGCAGTTGTTTCAGGTGTTTCTGCGGCAGCACCCACTGCAGCAGGACCCTCAGCAGCTTCTCCTGCTGCCGCTGAGTCTTCTGCTGCTGCAACCAGTGTTGCTGTTGCTGGTGTTGGTGGTGTTGGTGGTGGTGTTGCTGCTTCACACTCAAGCCCACCAAGCAGCTTGCCCGCAGCAAGGGGCTCCGCTACGTGGGTGTTGCTGCTGCTGCTGCTGCTGCTGCTGCTGNTGCTGCTGCTGCTGCTGCTGCTGCTGCTGGTCGCCTTCAGCTTTCCTTGCAGCCAGATGGGGGAGCCAGCAGCAGAAGAAGCAGCAGCTGGTGGCCCTTGTGCACTCTCAACACAAAGAGCTGCAGAAGGTGCTGTGCTTGCTGCAACACTCGCAGGGGCGGAGAACTGCCTCTCTTCTGGGCTTTCTGCGCGCTTGCTGTTGGAGCTGTTGCTGCTGCTGCTGCTTCTGCTGCCTCTGCTCCTGCTATGTATGCTGGGGACGCTTTTGCTGTTGCTATCGTCCTCGCTGCTCTCGCTCAAGCCGCTGCTGCAGCTGCTGAATTCGTCTTCGTTTGCTGCTGGAGAGCACGGAATAGATGAGGCTGTAGCCGCAGCGTGCTGCGCAGCAGCAGCAATAAACAATCGGTCATGTGGAGTTGTGGCTTTTCTATCGAGCCTCCTCGCTCCTGAGTGCTCAGATGAGCAGCTCGCGCTGCAGCTGCAGTAGCTGCCGCAGCTTCCCCTCCTGCTGCTGCCCCTGCTGCTGTTCCTGCTGCTGCTCCTGCTGTTGCACGGCGCCGCTCCCCACGGTACAGCACGCGGTCGCCTCTCTGGTGTCGTGACAGCTCGCTTGGGTATCATGGCCTTTTTTGTCGCATGCAAAGCGGTGTCCAATTCTTTCTTCTGCGGTGTATGCACAGCACCCAGAAGTGCATAAGGCGGCAGGGAGACCTGCAGCAGCTGAGGGGCCGTTATACGTTAAGCAAGTTGAAGTATAAGTCTAAAGAAGATATTATGAGGCGTTTCCGTGGTTCTTACGGGCTCCTGCCACGCATTCAGAAGGTGCAATGGTCGCAGGTTAAGGACAGGAATGACGTGTGGGGCGGTGGCAGGTTTGAGTGTCTATACACCCCATTTCAGAGAGCAGGAGAAAGAGATTTTCAAGGCTGGAGATTCGAAGAAAAAAACAACAAAGACAAATGCTGCACAACAGCAGCCGGCGCGATCGCCTCCTCCGCCTCCTCACGTCGGCATCCTCCTTGGTGGAGGTGAAGGACTTGAGTTCTAGAGAAGACAGCGCATCAACGAGAGAATCAAATAGAGCAAAAAGTGCGAAAATAAACAAATTCGATGCGCATGGCATCGACAGCGGCAAACCACAGAAGACATCCGCCAGAAACCAAGCGGCGCACCGAGGCGCCAAGGGGTCCGTCAGGCAGCTGTACAGTCTGAGCAGCTGCAAAATGCATTATAAATTAGACTTAACATCCCCTTTTGAATAATAAATAATTAAAAAAAACAATAAAGTCGTTTTAAAATATATTTAATCTCTTTCATTGCATCTCAAGAACCTCCCCTGGTGCGCCATATGTATGCAGTAGTAATACTGTAGTATTATAACGGATGCTGGCTAAGAAGAGAACAAGTCCTTGCACTTTGTAGCTGCTGCATTGAAAACAGATTCTCCTTAACCCTTCAGAATTTAAAATATTAATTTGTTTCAAGATGCATGCAATGATAGTACAGGCAACAAGGAGACCCACAAAACTCGTGTTTGTCAGCAGGTTTCGCGCAACGCAGTACAGGATCGGGTTAAAAAAAAAAAACTAAAAATGCATTAGAAATAAAAGTGATGGCTTCAGCTAACCATTCAGTATACAAATACCCTAAAAATATATCAGTTAACAACAAGAAGTAGAAACCCAACAATATAACAATGCTGTGGCAGCGGACTCAGAATAATTTCTATCGCTTCAATAGGATTTTCATGATTGGTTTTTCTTTATTGGAAAGTGAACAGTTCGTATTCCCTTTTTATTTAAATTCGGTTAACTTGAATTTGCTTATTGACGCTTGAATACTTTGCGTTTACTATTACAATTCGACTTTTTTTTTTTTTTTTTTTTTTTTTTTTTTTTTTTTTTTTTTTTTTTTTTTTTTACATTCATAATGTTGAATTTAAATATTCGCATTCCTCTATCTGAATTTGAGTACCTTGTACTATATGTTTATTTCAGTATGCATAATTGGTATCATTTGCCAGTTTGAATTTCGGGCAATTTGCGTTTTCCGTTTATTTGAATTTGAATCATTCGTATTTGCTGATTTGTGTTTGAATAGTTTGTTATATACTAAATTGTGCTGTAAACTCTTCGGCAATACCAACTGATTCAAGGATCCTCACCTTATCTCGCTCCTATCTGCTGAACAGTTTCATAACTCGCTCGTTGTTCTGAGCTCTGGTGATGTTCTGATATCAGCAGGCAACTGCAACAATAACCACCTGTGATGCCACAACAACTAGCTAACTGCACTGCAATAACTAGCTAGCTGTAACACAGTAGTAACTAGCTGCAATACAATAGTCATATAGTTAGCTGTACTGCAGTACCAACTAGCTGTAGTGCAGCAGCAAGAGCATCCTGGCTGCAATGCATCAATACGTACCTGTATTGCAACAACGACAACCCATTATATAATGGCGATCAGGTGCGATGCAAGAACAACCTGCTGGATAGGCTTCATTAACAAGTACCTTCTAGCGCAGTAGCAACTAACTGCAATGCAATAACAACTAGCTGTACTGCAACAATGATCAGCTGTGGTGCATCAACAACCAGCTGTAATGCAATAGCAATCATTTATACTGCAAGAACAACCAGCTGTGACGAATTAAACACTAGCTGTAATACAATCAGAAATAGCCACAATTTTGCGTTGAATTGTTCTCTCGCGGACTTTATTGTACACGTATTCAAAATTATTCCCGAATTTCAGCATCCCTCACTTTAACTTTTTTCACATTTATTTTGCTTTATTATTCTTGTTGGGGGCCTGATGCTTCGTTTATAATGATTGCGACAGTAGGCAGTTGCTTGGTTCTAACAGGAGCCGACTAGGGGCTGTGCGTGTACGTAATCAGCACCGCAAGATCAATGAATTAAAATTCCTCTTGCATTTGTTGTGGTCTATCAAATGCTGCAAAAGCATATGATGTCCAGGGTTTAAATAATTCTGCTTTTAGTGCTGGCGTATAGATTGTTTACACCCGACCTTGCAGTGTACGAGACGAGCCTGCAGACTGTTTTCATTTCAGCATTTCATTTGATCGGTTTCATGTTCCTATCGTTCTTCCCTTCTCTGTTTATTCCTTTGCACCACTCCATGGCTGCCTTGCGTAAATGTTTGCTTTGCCTCTTGTTGCCTTTCAAAGCAAATATTTTTCTTTTTTTGCTGCACCACCTACTGCTTCTGCGATTACAGATCGTACAAGCAGCAGATACGGCCACCGGTGGGTTTTGCTGCATTCTTTTTTGTTTTAAATAAACAGTTGCAACTAAAAGCATGATGTAACTTAACATTTCAGGAGGTGTTAAAGGAGTGATAGGGAACTGGAGAGAGCAGCTTCAGCTGGTACGGGTACCACCAATAGTCTGTTTTCGTTCTTTCTAATGAATGAATTCAGCACTGCGCCGGTGGCTACGGCTTGCACATCATAGACGCATCGTAAGCCTCGAGGGAAACGCTTGCAGTTCTCTGAGAAGCACCAGAAGCTAAACAATGCAGCGTTCATTGTGGAAAAACAACAGGTTTGGTGCCCCGTTTCTGGCTGGCGATACAATCTACAAGACCAACCGCGACGCACCGCACACGAAACTTGTTATACAGCAGCACTGCGAAAGTAGAAATGAGTGTCAAGTGCGTATCCGTTAAAATTCCTCTTGCCTTGAATAAGCAAAATCATATATAATAATATAAATAGTACAACGACAGACGTCTCAAACAGAATGAATTTCAGGTGCTTGTCGACCCAGAAACATTCGGCATCCTGAAATCCGTCGGCACAACGGAACCAAAACTCGCTGTTACATTTGCGTGTTTAGCGTCGGCGCAGAAGGGTTTTTTCGGCGAAGGCAAGTAAAGAAAGATACAAAAATGCCAGCTTCAAGTCACATCACAGCAGCCGCAGAGGATACCTTCCAGGCAACGCCTGTCACGCAGGGCGGGTGGAACGTGATGATAAAGAGCGGTTGGCAATCTTTTTCAAAGAAATGCGATGAACAACGCAAAAACCTTAAACCCTAATCCTCAGGAAGAGAGCAAGCGGACATCACGCAGTTGCGGAGGTCTTACATGCATCTCAAAGACATGTAAATCGAGTTTCTTTGAATGGTAGCTCTTTCCTATCGGTCATGAAAGACATTTGTTGTGCAGAGATGCGGAGTGCGAAGCACCTTTACAGGTTGCAGTGCCGGTTCACACGCTCGAAGCCGCTGAAAACAGGTGCGGCTGGATGCACAAAACAACAACGAGCCAATCAAAGTCTTGAGCCCAAATAAACAACCAAATTACTCAGATGCGCCGAAGCCGAACAGTGCACGTTCATAATCGCTCGGCCGCACAAAATTGAACTGTGCACATCCAGTACCTACGTGAAACCACGGAGGGCTGCAGGTGGAGTAGTAAGCTGAAATAATTTCAGTGCAAGACGACCAAACTGAAAGGATTAAAATGTTTCGTCTCATATACATCACAGATCTATGTTAAAGCATTCGAAGGTTCGCAGTGCTCTGCTGTAGAGGCGAAGAAGAATTCACGTTTTCTCTCGTTTCAGCTTTCGGATCGGCCACGCGCCTTTTCAAGATGCATCCAAGTCTGTCATCATCGTGGAGATGATGCATTTAACCACAAATTAACGGCTTAATGCTTATTATTATTATTTGTAGATGTTCAGAGCGTCTGTGAGCGCCACCAGCTGCTAGGAGAGGCAGAAAACGTCCGAAATGCGGAGTGAGTGGAGCCGTTTTCTCATGGGCATCTTCGGTTCATTCAACTTCACCGCCCCGAACTCCTCTGCAGAGACGCCGCTGAGCAGTGCGTTGCAGCGGGCTGCGACTTCTTCGTTATGTCGACAGTCAACGTGTACGTTTGCGCACACAGCCAATGCACGAAGAAGAGAAAATAACCCGTTTTAAACCTCCCCTTCTTCTATCTTCAGAATTCCCGGTGCGCTGTCCGACTTTGTGAACCACGTTTGGCTCTGCAGAGGCAGCCCTATCTACGTAAGCCTCCTTTTCTAACCGATCTTAAATAAAAACGACGAAAGCTCCGATTATCCTACAGATTCCCTTTGACGGATTTGTTCTTGGTGAAAGAAGAGGAGCAAACTTGGCCGGTGAGCCGTCACCGCTTGCCCCTACCGACTGGTGTTTCCAGCAGCTTCATGATAACGCATTCAGCTGTGAAGGGGCATATACAAAGCGGCGCAGTCGCTGGCTAGCGAAGGAACTTCTAATAAATATATATTTGTTCGCTTTGCATATAAGGAAAGCCGCTCTTATATGGCACTCCATATGCACTAGAGGTTCCGGTAAAACGCCGGAAATTTCAACAATTGAGAAACCGTGAAACACGTGGCAAAATGCAATTGCAGCAATTGAAACGCTTCAAATGTTTACGCCTGCGCATGTGCAAACCCAACAATCTGTACATTTCTCTTTAAACATTTGCGACAAAGCGTCTTTTAAACATATTCGACAAAAATGTCGGGCTCATTCCAGTAGCGATGTGCTATCGCTGCTCAGTGTACTACCACCCGCAACAAAATCCAGCAGGCATGCCGCCATGCTTGTTGCAGACAGTTGCAAATTGAGGACCGAAACCGTCCACAGCAGACACACAATGAGCGCAAATATAAACAAAGGGTGGATCAAAACCAGAAAAAACAAGTACAATAGCCACCTGTGCCAAACACGAAGTGCACTAGGCTTGCAGTGCTGCGTTTCCAGCTCGCTGATGCTTTGCTTTGAAATGGTCATCATCGACTGTACAATGCTATAGAAACGAATGAATTAAACTAAGGGTTCTGCTATTCTACATCGTGCATGCAGCAAACGCGCATTGATGCACCAACTGAATAGGGGGGTATGCTGCGGCGTGTCAGCCGTCCCCCTCAGAAAGCTACAAGAACACAAGGAGACGAGATCTAGAGATAAATGTGCACGAACCCTTCCTGCAACCTTCAGTTTAGGGTTTAGGATTTAGGCCGCCGGCCTCGCTGCGGGGCTTTTGCGTGGGCTGCAGTTGGTCCGATGGGTTGGTCGGGGTGAGGATTACATCTTGTGGTCTTTCTTGCTGGAGTTCTCGGCGCGTGTCCTGCTGCGCATCTTGCAGTGCTTGCTGCTCCTGCTGATGCTTATCCTCGCCTGCGTCTTCTTGCGCAGTTGCGCAAACCGCCCAGCGCACTGCCTGTCCGCTGCCGGTAATCTCCGTCACAACTCGCAACCCGTCCACTGAACGCGCGCTCAGCCCATCCCACAGGATGGACTGGTGATGTCCTCCCAGCATGCCTATACCGTCGGCGGTTTCCGCTGCAAGAGCAGAAAAGGAAAAAGAGGAACGCAATTCAATGAGCACAGGAGCAAAGAAAAGTACACCAAAGGCGGGAACGGAGAAGGAAGCAACAACGTGCCACAAGCGATATACGCATCAACCCTACCCTCCATCTCTTGAAGACTTGTCAGGCTCTGAGACCGAGTAGACCGCCTTCTGAACGCCGCATGGCTTCTCTTCTTTTCCTGCAAGTCCAGCATGACTTCGCTTTGCGAAGTCTGCGCACCTTTGAGGCTGCAAACAAACATAACAGCCACTCCTATGTCACTCAGGGAAACATGCCGGGCTCGCCAGGAAACAATAAAAAGATATGATTTGCCCTGCAACTATTCCGCGTATAGACGCCGGCCCGCTGAGGCTTCCTGTCGCCTTTGACCTGAAACTCAATCGGGGGTTCCAGTGCGTGGTGAACGAGCAAGTGTCGAGCTAAAGAAGGAGCAAAACTGACCAGGCGACGTTCGTTCCAAAGAAAGGCAATGCCCTAGGCTTGAAGGCCTTGCGGCCCCCTCCTCCCTTTCTTCTATCTGCCCCGAGGGGGTGTAGGTCGACAGGACGCAAGACAAAGGCAGGAGGAGGTCCTTTCGGCGTCAAACAGCCGCCAACTGGAGTCAGCGCACCGGCATGCTGCGACCCTGGGGGGCTCCACGTCTGCGGAGCAGCTCCATCAAGCGCTTCTTTCTGTAGCCATGCAAAAGAAGAAAATGGAAACAAACACAAAAACAAACAACACGCGAGCCATCAGCCGAGTTTCAGGAGAACAGCAAAACAATGATGGTAATTACTCTTATTTTGCAATGCACGAATCACATGAAAGGACAGAAGAAGGCAGCTCGTCAATCTCCATCAGCACGACCCCTGTTCCTCTGTATACTAAGTGTCTTTTTTGCTGAGCACAACAGCAATAAAGTGGTTATCTTAATTCGTTTGTTCCTCACAGATGTGTCGCCGAGCGCCATTCTTCTGTTGGCCCAGAAGACAGCATCGGGAATCGAGAGGAAGCAATGTTCAGGCGGAAGCACATCATAGAATGCAGCCTTTTGCAGAAAGTCTCTCATGGGCCCTTTCCAGTTGGCGAACAGCAGCAACACTCCCCTCTCCCCCAACGTCTTCACCAGCCTCTCTAACATGCGAATTGCCGTCACATCCAAATCGTTTATTGACGAACCATCAACTATCATTACGCGGGTTGAAGGCAACAAAGATTGCAGCACGCGAGACTCGAAGAAATCACTGTTGCTGAAATTCAGAGACGCGTCAAAACGCAAGATGCGGATACCTACAACACAAAGGCGAACGCACAGGGAATGAACCCTATACTGCGTCAAACGCACAGACACTCCAAATATTCCAATAGCACAAAAAGAAACAACCCGAACAGCCATGCACTAAACCTATCAAGGAGAAAGCTTTGTCGTTTCTGAGCAGCAAGGAAAGGGAGCAACCGAAAGACGTGTGCACTAAGTCATGATGTATGCGGTCTGCTCCAGGGTGTAGTAGTTGGTGTTTTGAGCATCTAGTTCGTAATATGTGGTTTGAATACCTTCTTCCTCTACGGCCATGGGAAAACGTTTGATATTTCTGTAGATAAAGGTCTTAGGCAGCTTCCCGAGGATCGCACAGGAAGGCCTCGCGGTTTTGCGTAGCAGCCAGAGCAGAGACAGGAGAATGGAGGCGAGAATGCCTTCCATGGCTCCGAAGATTATTGTAATTAAGAAGCAGACGAGCCACAGCAGCACGTCCAAGCCCCCTGAACCACCATAATCAGAGTCAAAACGAGCAGAAACACGAGCTCCAGGTGTCAATGAATCGCTGCACCTGTTTCTCGCGGCAGAGAAAGTAAAAAAGGGGAAAAGGAGTGAATGTATGTCGAAGCTCACCTATCTTCGCCAAACGGACACACTCCCTAAAGTCCAGCATCCCGTACACCCCAAACAGAACGACAGCGGCGAGCACGGCGTTCGGCAAAGCGTACAGCAGCGGCGTCATGAAAGACAGAGTGAAAACCAGCACCAAGGCATTGGATATTTGATGCAACTGCGTTAAACCCCCCGTAGAGGCGACAACACAAGTACGCGACAGGGAGGTAGCGTTGGGGAAACACTGAAAACAAGAGCCAACGAAGTTGCAGGCGCTTAAGGCCACCAACTCCTGGTCCGGGCGGATGCTGTACGTCTGCAGATGCATGCAAACACACCAAACAACGAAACAAATTCGAAATCCACAAGGAGACACTTGTCGTCTAAACAAACAGCTTAATCATGCACATAATGTGCATATACACATACTGCGCCCATAGGAGCTGCAAATGCAACAGGCACGTGCCGCACACAAGCTGGAAAAACGCGGCCCCCGCTCTGTCAGTCTTCTTGACGACTTCTTTCTATTCAATTCGAATTTTTAATGAGTTTTATTTGAATGTTTAGAGCCCCAATGTAGCTGAGCTGAGGCAGATATTCACCTTCTTTTGCTGTGTGATAGTCTTGGCAATGGAAATGTGAATGACGAAGAACATCGCTGTCAAAGCCAGCGCCTCCCGCAGCATCATCAAACACACATTACGATGCACCACTAGAGGGTCGCCGCCCTCGGCTGCGGAAAACCAGAAAAGAGAAACCGCAGCCGCACAAGATCCAAAAAGCTTCACAAACAATTGGAAGAGCCCAGAAGCGTCCGCACGCTTCAGCCTACACCCCTAGATTCCGGTGGTCTCAACTGTGTATGGAGGGATGGAAAACCCGCCTGCTCGTGGTGCGTATGTGTGTGTGTGTGTGTCTGTGTCTGTGTATCTTGGTGCGTCCACATAAACAGAACTAAAGAAATAGGGATAACAATGATGGATCGCTGATGGAGTGCTGAGTACTCGGACGAGCGGCTCACTAATAACAGCAAACGAAGTCGAAAAGCGGGGAGCTGCGGGGGAGGGGAAGCCCTTAGGGATATTCCCAATCACCTTGATGCCCGCCGACGCCTCCAGCCCAAGCCCCGCAGACAACGCCGTGAAAATAATGACTACCAGCAGAGGGCCCGGGAGAGGAACGCACTTGAAATACCTGCAGGTATATGGACACCGCAACCCTCTGAGACGGTCCACCTCCACAGTTGAAACTGAAGCAGCGCGACGAGCGCGAGCAGATCACACCATGCACCTTCACAGCAAAGAAGAGGGTCAACGCAAGCAAACGCCGAAAGCAACAACCAGAGGCTGGTGTGGCAAGACCTGCAACGCACTTCCGGTTTAGCATCTTGCAGATGGCGAGGACGATGAGCGAAGCAACGCAAATGCAGACAGAAACCCAATTCGCCTCTTTGATGTGAGTCGCGCAGTACCACCACTGTCTGTATACCCCACACACGAGCGTACACCCCGACGCAAGCATCTCTTTTTAACCCCCGCGTGGCAGCTGCAAACAGGGAGCGCTCCTGCAGGCTGACGTTTTAGGGTTGAGGGTACGCCGGCTGTGAATCCCTAAACCCTAAATGCCAAACCCTAAACCCTAAGCCCTGAACTCTCTAGGTGAGTACCTGAGCAGTTTAAAGTCTGCATCCTCTACAGTTGCTGGGATGTTGAGGCCGAGAGCATGTTTGAGCTGCGACGTGCCAATAAGAAAAGCGCTGGCGGTGGAGAATCCGGAGAGCACCGGCACAGCCAGGAGGTCTGCAAGCAGCCCGGCCTGCAGGACGCGCATGAGGAGGAAGACGAGGCCGACGCAGACAGACATGCCAACGGAAATAGCGATTCTGTTGTCGTGCAGCAGAGACGAATTCAAATCAGCTGTGGCCTCTAGAACTGCACGCGCTTCCGCTGACGTCTTGGGGTCCACAGCTAGGGCCCGAGCCAACGCAATGTCTTCCAGCCGCTCCCTCTCTCCTATTATGCGCGTTACAGACTCCCCCAACAGCAAATCTTCAATCGCTGAGACGCCCACCGCCACGTGCCGCCCCGTACCAAACAGCATATACACCAGAGGATACACAAAGTTCACGTACAAACCCATCTGCGGCGGCAGCCGTGCCAGCATCGCATAAGACATCCCTTGAGGAATAGCCATCACGCCTGAAGACGCACCCAAAACACCAAAACCACAAACCGACGGACCCTCGTCCCTTCCCCAAAAAAAACCCTGCTTTACGCTGGCCCTCAACGGCATTCACGACCAGCGCGGGGCCAACGGCGCGTATTTCAAGTGAAAGCAACCACTGCTAATCATGAACAGCTGCTAAGCGTTAGTTGCTGCTAATCCCGGGTTTCTGAAAACTGCACACAACTGCCACAGTCCCTTCAATGCCTCCCCACGCACGAGTCCATCCCTGTGTGTACACTTCATGCGAAGCAGCGCACCTTCTGATATCCCTGCAAACATGTCCGGCAACAGATAATTCCATTTGTACGTCCGCAGCACTTCTTGGAGCGGAACAACGGACTTCACGCAACCGAGAATGGAGAAGCGCCGGGCCTTGCCCCACAGCCGTCTCAGCGGGCTGCGTTTTTCCTCTGGGCTTGAGAAATCCTACAAGGAACACGCAAAACGCCGCAAAAAGTGTTTTCATGAGACACACGAGCGAAGCACAGGTCAACTGTACGAACGCAAGGAGGAGAGTTGCAGCGGAGTCGGCGGGGAAGAACTGCAACAGTGAAGCTTCTGCAGGAAATGAAAAACTAAACAAATGCAGCAAAAACCGTCAAGCCTAAGCCTACACGGTGGATGTCATCTTCAGTCATTGTCTTCCGCTGAATAGGCGGGGAGATGCCTCCGCTGGAGGTTTGCGCCACGCGGCAACTGCAAGAAAAAAACAAGTGTTTTCAGTATTAATTGTGAATTCCGTATTTATTAACTACTGATCCTGTAATCATGTGTTCCGCATTTATCAAGTACAAGTCGTGTAGTAACTGCAAGCACCAGCGTGGGCTGCACTAAACAAACTGAAAGCTACGCGGTGAGACGGGCGCCACGAATGCCCCGTAAACCGGAAACCCAATGCGTGAACTCCGCTGCGTGAAATCCGCTGCGTGAATTCCGCTCTAAAACGCCCTACTTTTCGCAACTGCAAGCGAAAAGGAGTATTAAGAACGTAGAAAGCACTCACTCGATCGAAATTGTGGCGCTATCGGCATCCTTTTTTCCTCTTTGGTGCTTCAACTCAACATCTCCACTACCGCCTGGATGCTGGAGATCTGCTTTCATCGGAGGCTTCTTCCGGCCTTTTGCGCTCGGAATCCACCGGCGCCACCACGAGAATGTATCGTAATTGCCTGCCCTTTCATGCTCGCCGTCTTGAGTGGGGGATAATACGTCATCAGGCTGGCGCATCATCGGCCGAGGAGGCGATTCGCGTGCAAGACAACAGGTCAAGGTGCAAACAGAAGGAATGTCACAGATAATATTCCTCCCCGACGAAACGAAACTTTAGATAATCAATATTCTCATAAAACAAAAGTACACAGCTACAGACAGCAGCAGCAGTCCCGTCGTTCCGAGTCGAATTGAATCCGCCGGAAGGAACAGCTGCTTACTGAGGGCTTCCGAGACGCTTTCCCAAGCGCCGGCCCTCCTAGGTATTCAAAAAAGCGCTTCAGTTAAACTTTAAAGTGAAAATAGTCAAAATAAGTCGCTGGAGAGCACCAGTGCGACAGACATAAGCTACAAACCCGACACCAACACGCCTTTTGCTGCCCCCGAGGCGGACAGCAAACGACAATACGTCAGCAGGAAAAGTCTAGCCTGGATATTTGCTGATATTTTAAACAAATGCAAGACACATAAGAGTCGGGAGGAAAAGAAGGCCAAAGGAGAAACGCCGCTCCGTACGAGCAGCGGACGTACGAGGCGAAGTCTGTCAATTGGGGCAGCCAACCATCTTGTGAACGCATTTAAAACCACATCTAAACAACTTAAAACTCAAAATTAAACTCTAAAACGGGGAAAAACTCAAGTGTAAAATGATACGACGCGCTTGCCTCACGGTACTACTGCCCTCCCGCCAGCTGCTCTGAGCATGCAGTTGCCGGCTTGTCTCGGCCGTCTCCCGATGTTTGGGGCTTTACAAAAGAGGGAACAGCCTTGAATATATTTAAATCAATATGAATTTGTCTTATTTTTGCAATTCCTCCTTCGGAAGGCACTCCCGTAAAGCACACACTATTGAAATCTGCTAGCACGCAGGAAGCGGTCAACAGGCGAACCTCGCCATACCGGAGGAGAGCAGCTCAACTTCAGGAAATTTACTCTCATGTTTTCTGTTTTCTGGTTGCATTTAATTAAGCATTTATTTTTTCGCAAATGTTCAAGTGCTCAGCGCAGCGGCTACTACGAGCTACCTCCGCACGGCACACCCTCGCCCACGGAGTTGTTGCGATACCGTCCTCTGTTGGATTCACCATCTGTGCAGTTATCACTCGAAATAATTTGCCATTTAGGGGCAATTCACTTCATAGTTTATATTGTGGAATATTAGAAGCGCTTCACTCTCATCAGAATTGCGCCTGAGTTGGGTAGACAGTCTGTCCACTGGTGAGTGACGGCATGTGATGGACTGTAACGAATCTAGAAGACCTAATGAGTCGTAAAAACCGCAAATTTAGGTGTATTGCACCTCATCCAACGCAATAACATGCATTCGCATGCAACTTTTGAATCCCGCACATGGCGGACTTGACGAGGGGCTCGACCGAAGTCAACTCTGGGACGAAATTGCCGGTGAAAGGCGAAAAAGGCCATGCAAAAACATCTTGCAAGAGGCGGCACAGCTATGCGGAGTCTCGCGTATATGCAGTTTAGGGGCTTAGCTCTAAACATCAACATCAACTGCTTACGGGTCTAGTTTTCGGGGTAGGAAGAATTCAATAACTGAAGTCGTTGGAGCGTCACTTGAGAAGGGGCAAAGTCTAAACACCTAAAATTAACGCGTCTGACTCCTCTTGTTACCCGTGATTCGCAATTCAAACAAATACGAAGGGGCTTTCCTCTACATTTGCTATACGCATGAAGTGTTGTGGCGAAGTCTCACGGAGACGTCAGAAGCAAACAACAAGAAAACTGCTCTCTCTAAAAAGGATCTCAGTTGCTGCAGCTCTGCAGCTATTGCTGCAACACGGCAGCGGCAGCTGCTCCTATGCAGCAGCTGTCGCCGTCGTGCAGCGAGCCCAGTACATCCGCATGAGCGGCAGCTTCCGATCCAGACTCTACCGAGAACATCTGCTGCTGCTGCTGTTGCTACAGTAAGGTTCCCTCATATTTTGACGCCTCCGTCAGTTCTAATTCTGGAGGCTGCGATGGTGCGGCTGCTGCTGCTGCTGCTGTCTGGAGAACTCATCTGCGTGTTCTTGCGCTGTGGTGAGCAAATGCCGGACAGTCGCCTGCGCCGAACTCGGAATATTCCGCATATTCAACAGCTGGGGGAGCCGTGCAGCCAGCTGTATGTGATGTGGCACTTGCTGCTGCTGCGGCTGCTGCTGCAGCTGTGCGGGCACCTCCTGCTGCTGTGACATCTGGTGCTGCTGTGGAATCTGCTGCTGCTGTGGCATCTGCTGCTGCTGTGGCATCTGCTGCTGCTGCGGCATCTGCTGCTGCTCCACTTGCAGCTGCTGCTGCCCACCAGGCCATGAACGGGGAGTCGCAGGACCACTGCTGCCTGGTGCCCCTGAAAGCAGGTTGTTCAGAAACCAGGGAGCTCCGACGGGTTGAACTGCGCCTTGCTGCTGCTGTTGCTGCTGCTGTTGTTGCTGCAGCATTAGTTGTTGTGTCTGCATCGCGGCGTACCTGTTCTGCTGCAGCAGGAGAAGCTGACCTTGGTGCTGCTGCAGTTGTAGTTTATGTTGCTGCTGCTGCTGTCGAATAATGGCCTCGTGCTGACGCAGTAGGATTTCCTGTTGACATCTCTGCCGCAGCGCAAGCAGCCCCTCTTCGCTGATTAAGGGTTGCTGTTGCAGCAGCTGCTGCTGCTGGTGTTGCTGCTGTGACTGTGAACTACCGTCGGCAGCTGTTGGCTGCGATCCCGTACCCCCTCGATCTGCCTGAGCGTAGTTTGCTGCTGCTGCTGCTGCTGCTGCAAAAGCCGCTGCAGCAGCGGCAGCCTTTCGCAGTGCTACAGCATCTTCCGCTGCAGAAGCCGCCGGAGCAGGAGCAGCCGCCGCCGCCTGAGCAGCAGCAACAGTAGCTGCATCCGTCACAGCAGCAGCTGCTGCACCGGGAGCAGCAGCAGGAGAAGCAGCAGAATCTGCGGCAGCTGCAGGTGTTGACGCTGCCTGCGCTTGCCCAGCTTCTGGCTGGCCCCCGTCAGCTGACCAATCGATCTCTTCTAGCAGAGCTGCTGCCTCCGTCACGAATCCCAAGGGCATGTCTTGCTGCGCCATCTCCCCGCTGTTGCTGCGGCTGTTGCTGCTAATTGCAGCGGACGCAGCATCACCGCCTGAAGGGGGGCCAACCGCAGACACACTGGAATCACCACCGCCCCGAGCTTTGCTGCAGTTGCTGCTGGTGCTGCTGTTGCTGCCGTGGGAGCCCGCGGTGCTACTTCCGCTGTTGCTGCTGCTGCTGCTGCTGCTTCCACCTGGATGCTGCGCCACTGTCCCTTCACCTGCAGCATCAGCTTTCTGGGTCCCCCCTTCATCGCAAGGAGCTCTTGGAAGCAACGACTGCTGCTGTTGCTGCGATGCCTGCTGCTGCGGTGGCTGGCTGTGCTGTGTTTGCTGCTGAGAGGATTGCTGCCATTGCTGTTGCTGCTGCGATGGCTGCTGCTGCTGCTCCTCCTCATCGGAATCTGAGTCCAAAGCAATTGGAGCGTTAAGCTCGCCTCCACTACCGTCAGGGTGCTGCTGCTGCAGGTGCTGCAACTGAGACTGCGTTGGCTGCTGCAATTGCTGCTGAGATTGAGTTGGCTGTTGCTGCTGGGACTGCGGTGGCAGCTGCTGCAGCTGCTGTGACTGCGATGATTGCTGCTGTTGCTGTGAATGCTGCGACGGCAGCAGTTGTTCATTTGAAGTATGACGCGCCCCGCCGCCCCCTTGGCCGTCGTTGACAGCGGGACCTGCTACATTATGCTGCTGCTGCTGCTGCTGCTGCAGTTGCTGCTGTTGCTGCTGCGGCTGTTGTTCATCATCGGATGAGTCTGAGAGGCAAAGCACTTCCCTCTGCTGGTTGTTGGCGTCCATCGAGAGAGAATCCATACGCCGCTGCCGCTTCATAAGAGGCCCCTCATCTGAACACCCACCCCAAACACCAAACCCTAAACCCTAAACCCTAAACCCTTCAGCAGGAGAATGGAGATGCAGTTTTTAATTCTCACAGTAATCGCAAAAGGTAGCAGCACAGCAGCCAACTCTGCAACATCCGCTTAGCTCACCTTCCTCATCTGATGCTCCGCTGCTGCTGTTGCTGCTGCTGCTACTGTTGCTGCTGCCGGCAGCAGCAACGGGCCTCTGCAGCGTCTCTGCAGCAGAGCCTTCACGAGGCGCACCAGGGGGATCCTGGCATGCTGCAACAGCCTCCCCTGAAGCTGCTGGTGTTGCCGTTGCCACTCCTGCTGCTCCTGATGATGATGGCGCTGCTGCTGCTGTGTCTTCAGCATCGCTGTCGCTTACTGCAGCAAATGAACGACAAGAAAGACACAAAGGAGACAACTGCAGCAGGCTTTGTCTTTCTGTAGGCCTTGTTCATCTACACAGCATATACAAAGCGAATGAGCACTTGGCTACACAGCTCAGAGGCTGGGGTTTAGGGTTTAGGGTTTAAGGAGGGACTGACGCATATCGACGACTTCAAATGCCACTTTCCCAGTTGTCTCCGTCTCCTGCAACCCAACGAAGCACAAGCGGGGCCTGGCAAGAATGACGGACCCTAAACCCTAAACCCCAATACCTAAACGCTAAACCCTATTACGGCAAAGCTCAAAGCCTAACCTCTCCCTTTGGCTTGAGCAGCGCCTCCGCCGCGAGTTGCCTCTGTTGTTCTGCTCTCTTCGACTCCGCCTTCAGTTCTTCATCCGACAAAACCCTAAAGGACAAATCCTGAAGCAGCACGCAGCACCCCGAAAGTCCGTCTATCTGTCTATCTTCGAAAGAAAGCCCATTGCTAAACCCTAGACCCTCAAATAAACCCAGCGTGTTGCACAAGAAATACATGGATATACACAGACGACAGCTAGACGAGGAACAAGCCAAGCCTGCATGACACCTAAATCCTAGACCCTAAATCTATAACCTAAACCCTGAAACCAAAGGTGCCGTGAACCGCAAACCCGATATTCTCGCCCTTCAACCCGGAGCCCTAACCCCTAAACCCTAACTGAAGGACTCCTGATCCTATGTACTACGCCCCAGAGCCTGCAGGGTTTAGTGTTTAGGGTTTAGAGTTCGGCGGTGGTGGGGGCAGCTGACCGCCTGTAGTTCGACTTCTAAATCTTCTTCTTTGGTCTGGGAAAGAAGAAGTTGAAAAAATCCATCAACTTGCAAGTCGGAGGGGAGAACCGTCAAGTGGCATTGGGGGCATCGCCACCGGCTGTTGAACGCCTTGGTGCTTCTTGAGACCAACAGGTATCCGCTCAGATCATAGCACTGAAGGTGCATGCAGAAGCGGCCTCGACAAGGAATTTCGATCCTTAAAACAAAACAAAAACACAGAAACAACAACAAAAATGAACTAAATTACCTCAGAAACCAACGCAACAAATGGAATACCACCAAAGAAAACAATCTAACAATCATCAGTATGAGACGAGGATCTATGGTTTCACGCCTGCTGACAACGCCGCCGATTAGGGTTTAGGACTTCTGCACTAGAGGCACAAGCATGTTCAACTAGGATCCAGGGTTTGGGGACTTTGCAGGGCCTAGGGTTTAAGGTTTACCTGGTGAAGGTTACGGGGCAAGTGAGTTTCAGCCTCCTCCCCACCTCAAGACACTGCACTTCTTCGTCGCTATCTGCATCGTCCTGCTGCTGCTGCTGCTGCTGCTCCTGTTTCTGCTGCTGTCCATGGAGCAGCCGCTGCACGCGCTCTTTTGCAGCTGCTATCGCCACGGTGTGCTGTTGGACGACGGAGGCCTGAAGGGAAAAAAAGAAGCAATGCGCTGGAAGGCCCTGGTTTAGGGTTAAGGGTTTAGGGTAACCCTAGATCCTAACTAAGAGACGAGACCGAAAGAAGTGCACGCTCCCCTCACAGCCACTGCCGGTTTATGTTTAGGGTTCAGGCTGGGCACGTCGACACAGCAGCAGCTGCCTACAAGTAGCTACATCGCTTTGCCTCTGCAGTGTACGTATTCAGCCCTCAGGCTCCAGAGTTAGGGTTTAGGGTTTAAGATACACAGTTCCCAGAACTAGGGTTTAGGGTTTAAATTTAGGGTTTGGGGTACCTCCAGGGCCTCCGGGGTTTTGGTGTCCACCAAGAACACAGCGATGAAAAATAATTTGGGATCCGGCGTGAAGTTGGTTGTATTTATATCAACTTGGTTCATCCCGCTCCTCAAGTATTGTGTTATCTGCAGCAAACCCCAGAATAACCTCCAACCTAAAACCTGAACCCCCAACCCCCAACCGTAAACCCTAACTACACACAGGGAGGGGCATACCCCTATATAACACGCTAGTGGTTAGGGTTTAGGGTTTCGAGGCCGCACCACTATTGGCGTGTCTCTCCTCTTGTGTTCCCAAGATGGCGCAGCAACGCTTTCTTCTAGCTGCAGAAGAAGACGCAGCAGAAACAACAGAACAAGCGATGAGCAGCAGCAGGACCCGCAGCACCCAGCTGGTGCAGCACCAGCAGCATATATAAGGGATAGCTGGTTCAGTCCGGGAGCGCATTTTACGCGAGGGAGGTTGTCGCCTTTCGCTTGTGCTTAGGTTTTAGGGTTTGGGGTGTACGTACACGACCGTTGACGACGACCTCGACGGTGCGTGGCCAGGTTTGTATATGTTTTGGGGTTTGCGCCTGGCAGCAACGAATGACAATCTCCTTTCCCTGAGCTCTCCAGCTTTTGATATCTGTGGCATCTAGCGAGACTGCTATCGAGTCTTCGAGAGGAGACAGCTTGAAGATCTGTGCCTGTCCGTACACCCAAAGCACGCACAAACCCTCACCCAGTTGGCTTCGTTCGGATGAACAAACACTACAATACAGATACAACTAAGACAGCACAATCCCACTAACGGTACACAATTTATATTTATATTTACATATATATCTATATATATTTATATTTATATTTATATATATACAGCCGATGTAGTGTACACAGAAAGCAACAACAAATACAATAATAATAATATATTAATAAGGAAATGATATAAATACAACAAAATTGTATTATAATATATAAATACAGATACAACTAAGACAGCAAACTCCCACTAACGGTGCACAAAGAACTCACAGGGGGGTAGAACGGATCCATCAACTTCAAATGACAAGCCCCACAAATGAAGTCAGCCGGATTTCGGTCCTCTGACAGTCCGTAGCAGACGCGGTGCTGCAGCAGAATGCAGAGCAGCAGCAGTGGCCGCAGCAGCAGCAGCACAAACACACATCTTTTGTTGGCTGCGTTTACTGCTTCTTTGGGGGGAAATGCTCCTCAACAGCCCCCAATCCGCGATTCTAACAAACGCCGTTGGACGAATGCAGGTGGAGGCAGAGACAGTGTACGTACACCTCAGCATCTGCCCGTCCTCTGCATGCTTTCCCCCAACAGGAAATTCATAGCATGCATATAGAATCAACAAAGCAACACAGGAAAACAGACAAAACACTCACACAGCGAGCGCCGCACACAGGGCAGCTTATCAGAGGCTGCTGCTGCTGCATCAGCAGCTGCTGCTGCTGAGGAGACAGCCGATCTCCACATATGCACTCCCTCCCTGTAGCGCCGGCGCCGCCTGAAGTCACCGAGCCAAAAACATCCAGATATCGCTTGTTCCCTGCTGCTGCGACTGCTGCTGCTAACTCTGCTCCTGTACTGTAACGATTCCTGCCGCTGCTGTTGCTGCATCTTACGGGTGTGTGAAGAAGATAAGGCATTCCGAGGCCTTTGGGGCCCTGGGTAGTGCCGTGTCGCTCCTTGGCTAGCTGCTTGGCTAGCAGCTTGGCTAGCTGGAGGGACACCCCCATGTCGTTGTTGCTGATGCAGGTGCTGCTGTTGCTGTAGATGTTGGTGCTGCAGATGCTGGTGCTGCTGTAGCAGGAGCTGCTGCTGCTGCTGATATTGAAGAAAGTGGTGCTTTGCCCTCTGGTGATAATTAGCAGCGGACGTTTCCTCCATAGGTCCGCCGGGCTGTATATACACCTGACGGGGGCTCACATGTTGCTGCTGCTGCTGCTGAGGCTGCAGTGGTGGCGGGGGATGCCGTTGTCTTTGGAGCGGCCGCCTGTGCAGGACTTCAGGAGGCAGGGGCCCTCGGGTTCTGAAACAGAGTCAACAAAGGACTAGGCTTTAGGGTTTAGGGTTTAGGTGAAGTATGGGTTCACACAAGAGGAAGGCTTGCAGGAGGAGTTGTTATACCTTTCCCGCTAACCCTAAAACCCTAAACCCTAAACCCTAATTTCTAGAAGGCTGGGAGCTTGCATCTAGCCATGCCGAGGGTTTAGGGTTTAGGGTTTGTTTACTTTTCAAAAGCCATGAGGCGGCCTACGAGGTCCTTCTTCAGTCCCTTCACCGGAAGGCCCAAAGCGCGACAGGCGGCACTCAACTCCGCCACAGTGTGGCAGTGCAGCCTGCACGCAATCGTAAACCCTAAACCCTAAACCCTAAACCCTAAACCAAAATTTGCCGCTTCATAGCCTACACACCGAACCTGCGACGCCTGATGTAAACGCTAAGACCAAAATCAGAAAACTAAAGCCTTGAAGCAAACTGTGTGACGGTCCCGGGCGTAGCTATTAGGGTTTAGGGTTTAGGTTCGGTTTGCTTTCCTCACTCTTCGAGGGTTCTCATGGCTGCGCTGCACGACTTTTTGTCCGCTTCTCCACTTCCATCTCGCCCAGCACACCCTGAAGTCTTAACTCCAAACCCTTAGCCCTAAACCCTTCACCCTAGCCTAGGTTCTTGGTGTTCAGGCGCCTGCCGCCTACTCCGGGGTGCTAGGGTTTGCACTCTAGGGTGTTGGGTTTACGTCTAGAACCTGCGGCTCTGTCGAATACCGTTGCACCACCAGGAATCGTACATACAATGATAAAAGCCAAAAGCCGCTAAGCATTCAGGGCTTCGGGCCTAAGCGTTGGCGTCAGATATATAGCGCCTGTTGTACTCTCGTAAGTTGTGTCGATAGCGACGGAGTTAAAGGAGGATTTAATGCGCCATGAAGTGTAAATACACAGCTCGGACGTTCTCCATTTTGGCAGTTTACCGGTTTATTGTTCATAAGGAAAGAGAAAGACAAAGAATGCGACGAAAAACCACATGCGGAGACGCGGGAAATCGATGGCCGAACGCGGAAGCGGTGAGGTGTACGTACACCTCAACTAAAGTAAAACAAAATCATTTTTAATTGGGGGCACTTTATCCGGCGTTTGTACAAAGATCGGGGGGGCCCTCTTAAGGGGCCCCCGCTAGTCATCTGAACCCTTTTGCTGCATGCGCCGCTGCCAGCCCCACGTGGGGGCCCTTGGCCCTTAAGACCAGGAATGAGGTGTTTTACGCTTTTAGTTCCTTAATGTGGGGCATTTGGAAGTTGGAAGACGAATGAAGTTAAAGGCAGTAGGGACGTTCTCGGGAGAGAGGGTGAACGTTGAGGTTTCTATATAGCGTACGAGCTGCTAAGCTGTAAGCGGTAGCAAAGGCCTGTAACATGAGTTAGCGCAGAGTTAGCTCAGGAGCCTATCGACGGCTTTGGCATGCTGCGCGTGAGCGCCTGCAAACGTTATACAAGTTCGTTACGAGGCAAAGCATGCAGCAAAGGAAGCTTCCCTGAAGCTT